GAAATGAGAATAAATCTGAACAACTGAAAACAACATATCAATGGTCATGATCAAGTCAAAACTTATTAATAACAGTCAAACATGTAATGATATTCTAGTAAATAAGTGTACATATTGTGGTTAGATGTATAAATTTCACTAATCAGTAAGGGCATTTTGATCATTATACCCTCACCAACCCACGTGGCACACACCCACCTACCAACAATTATCTCTCTCTCTCACTTCTACACACACATCACACACACAGTCGTCACACATACAACTCACAAACTTCACACACACACACACACACACAGAGTTGCAAACATGCCGGCACCGCCGCCCGCCGCTGGTCACACTGTTCGCCGCAGGTCACGCCACTTGCCGCTGGTCTCGCCGCCTGCCGCCGCGACATACGCTGTACACAACACGCAGCGACCGCGACCCGACGACAACAAGCGATCCCTGGCGACCTGAGCGCATTCCCCGACGACAGACATCCACGAGACGAGGCTTGAAGGATGGGATGAGAAGATCTCTCAAAACCGTTCGTCTGGCCCCTTAGACCGTGTAAGTCTGTACAGAGCATGCAAATTTTATGTTGTAAGTGTTCAATCGTAATTTTATTCCACTGCGCTTTAGACTTATTTTCTTTGTGGGCTAGATCCTTGATTTGCATGATTCGACGTTCATCATAGAACCCCAACACACAAAGCGCGCTGGTGAATGAGGAGCTGCACGCGGTGAGTGCCAACGAGCCTACCTCATTCGCCAAGACAGAGAGCCCCAATTGGAGGAAAATGATGATGGAGGAGATGAAGTCCATCAAGGAGAACAACACATGGTACCTTGCCGGCCTCCTACACAGTCGCAAGGTGATCGGGATAAAGTTGGTGTTCAAGGTTAAGAGGGACGAACACGGCCGGTGTTCAACCACAAGGCGCGCCTCGTGGTGAAGGGCTATGCACAACAACACGACATCGACTACGACAAGGTGTTTGTGTTAATTCCCAGACTCGATCCGGTGTGTCTCCTCACCGTTGCAAGCACGAGTGATGGGAGGTACACCACATGGACATCAAATCGACATTTTTGAACGGCGAACTGAAGGAGGAAGTCTACATTGAGTAGCCGATTGACTTCATCATTGCCGGCTAGGAGCATAAGGTGCTCAAGCTTCGAAAGGTGTTGTATGGTTTGCATCGAGCGCTAAAGGCCTAGAACGTGAAGTTGGGCGACACGTTGAAGTTGCTCAGCTTCAAGAGGAGTATCTCAGAGCACGCCATCTACGTCAGGCGGAACGACGACTCACAACTGGTTCCATGATTACAAAAAATATATGGAATATACAAGTCGTAAAGTTTGTCGTCCAGCTACTGAAGATGTAATTCATGCACAAAAATGCCAAGTATTTGCTGCTATACACTTTTACATATCAGTTTCATTTTTCAGGATCGACAAAGTGCTCTTATATGTGTGTGTGTGTGTGTGAGAGAGAGAGAGAGAGAGAGAGAGATCTAGAGAGAACAGAGAGAGAGAGATGAAGGAGAGGTTATGTAGAACAAAATCTTTTGTTGCCACCGTTTAAAACAGTTTTGGTAAATTTTGACGACTTTTCGCTATAAGTTGGAACGAATGCCATCGAATGCTTGTGGGGATTCGCTTATCCCTGCCAGTTAGTGGATAATTACAATGATGGTAGTCGATGTGGTGCTTGATCTCTCCATATTTCAAAAAATAATAAAATTCACATTCGATTGTTAGAAAATTAGATAGTTTTTTAATAGTAAAATGACAGACTAACAAACAAGAACACGAACAAATGAGGCTTGAACATAGAAAAATAAATAAGTCAAGGAGCGTATTCATTACATTTTCCTAAGGTGATTTTTACCCCGCATATAAGCCCACGATTATCAATAATCACAAGCCCACGATTATCAATAATCACACTTAAGATACAACGACTTTCAACTATAGTATAGCAGCTCTTCAAATTCTATAGTTTCAGCAAACTTATTAGCTTTAGAAATCTCAAGTTTTAATTAGGAAAAAGAAAAGCAATATACAGTGAACTCACTAAAATGAGAATTATCCTCAAAAGTGATCTGAAATGTGGGTGTGGGTATTTTGATAGAATAAGGTGTTGCCACAAATCTCGTGTCAAGAGATATCATTTCGGACGCAATGCGAATGGATGTGCCCGAAAGCGAAAAAAAATAGGTAATGCACACTAAGGGTGCAACAGTCTAAAATATATAGCAGCTGTGAGCAGGCGTCTGGGGCCGCACTGAGAACCAACAAATGTCCAATTGATATTTGATTGTACTCGTTCCCAACGAACCTTATTCGAGTTTAAGGATGCATAGTATAGAATTATCACTTGTTTCGGTTGCCCGAACATTTAAAGAAACTTTCGAGTCAAACAAATTTTAAGCTGCTTAAACTCAATTTTTAGCTTGAAACTTAAATTATTCCATGCATATAACTTATAATTAATTTTTCATCTATCCTAATATACTGTTGATACTCAATTTGACCATGATTAATAACCATCACTACAAGAAAATGATGAAATTCCAACGGAAATATATTTCAATAGAATTCCAATGACAATTCCAATGGAAATATTATATTACTTAAAATTTATAATTATCATTATAATATTTATAATTTAGAATATATATACTTAATTATTATATTATTTACAATTTATAATTATCATTATACTTCAGAATAAAATTTATTCAATCATTATATTATTTATGATTAAGAATATATTTATTTAATTATTATAAAACCTATTTATTTATAATTTATAATTTATAATTTATTTTCTTAATTATTTTATCATTTATAGTTTAGAATATATTTGCTGAATCATTATATTATTGAATCTATTTATTCATTTACTATATTTTTTATAATTTAGAGTATGTTTATTTAATCATTATATTATTTATATACAGAATCTATATACCAAATTATTATATTATTTATAAGTTATAATCTCGTTATTTAGTTATTATATTATTTGTAATTTAAAATCTATTTACTTAATTATTATATTATTTATAACTAAATCATATTTAATTATAATATTATTTATAATCTAAATGTTTAATTATTATATTATATATAATTTAGAATCTATATACTTAATTATTATATTATTTATAATTAATAATCTTATATTTAATAATTATATTAGGGGAAGGTCCACTTTTGGTCCTCCATGTTTAGGGGGTATCCAGACTGAGTCCCTATTATGTTTTGGTGCCCAATTTTAGTCCTTAAAACAAAAAAATATAGTCCCTATAATTGGGAAAAATCCACTTTTAGTCCTCCATGTTTAGGGGTATCCAGACTTAATCCCTATTATGTTTTGATGCCCAATTTTAGTCCTTAAAAAAAATATAGTCCCTTTACCTCAATTTATTTGAATTAACGGTCCATTTTTGCTCGACCGTTATGTTCTTTATTTTTTTCAAATTTGTTGACTAATGTCAACTTTGACCAAAGAAAAATAAAAGAAAATTTAAATGCTGAAAAAGTAAAATAAAAGACAGAAATAGTGAACTGCAGTGAAACGTAAAAAAAAAAAAACCCCTAACCGCCTAGGGACTAAATCCGATCAAATGGATGGAAATGGTGTGGTATTTTGTAGATGTGAGCTGGTTGCAAAGTTGACTACATGCTGGAAGGATGATAATCTCGGGAGAAGATTCTTGAGTTGCCCTCTATATCCTGTAAGTACTTTCCGTGAACTTCAATTGGAGTATGATAAGAAATTGTTAAAAAACAGAGGGTTGATAGGTGCAATTTTTTTCGATGGCATGACCCGGAAATAGGTGCAAGAGCATTAGCTGTGATTCCAGGCTTGCTCCGCAGCGCGAATGCTAGGGAAATAGAAATAAGACGAGCAAAAATTTTAATTTTATTTAGTGAAATTTCTTGTTTTAGTTTAATTTTTTATTAATATATTTTCAGCATTTAAATTTTCTTTTATTCTTCTTTGGTCAAAGTTGACATTAATCAACAAATTTTAACAAAAATAAAGAACATCACAGTCGAGCAAAAATGGACCGTTAATTCACAGAAATTGAGGTAAAGGGACTACATTTTTTTGTTTTATGGACTAAAATTGGGCACCAAAACATAATAGGGACTCATTTTTTTGTTTTAAGGACTAAAATTGGGCACCAAAACATAATAGGGACTCATTTTTTTGTTTTAAGGACTAAAATTGGGCACCAAAACATAATAGGGACTCAGTCTGGATACCCCTAAACATGGAGGACCAAAAGTGGACTTTACCCATTATATTATTTATAATTTAGAATCTATATTCTTAATTATTATATTATTTATAAATTAGAATCTGTTATAATAATGTGCATGAAGTGCACGAGGAAATAAACTATTATATGTGAATGACTATTTTGCCCCTGATGTAATTGTATTATTACGAATTGTGTCATCAGAAGTTTCCTATAAATAGGAGCTTCAGTTATAATGAAAATTGTAGAGAATACATTTTCTCTAGTTTTATAACACGTTATCAGCACGAGTCTCTACCCTCTAGAGCTCGATTTGTAATATGAGAAAAGTATGCTCTACAGTTGCGTCTTATAGACGATCCTCTGTATCAGAAACTTGATTATTACTTCTCTGGAATAAACTCCATTTGCCAATATTTTGAATTTGATCTAATCTTTATAATCCTATCTTGTGCGTAAGAAAAAAATGGAGTTTACAGATTAATTAATAATCCCATCTACATCTCCATTTTGTTTGCTACAAATTAAAACCTGCTGAAAGCCGGAAAGTACTCACTTTTAGTGTTGAAAACAACAAAAAAAAAAAAGAAAGAAAAAAAGGGAAGATGGAAAATAGGTTTAAGAAATACAGCGGCAAGAAAAAAAAATAAAAAAAATAATAAAAAAAAATGATACATTTCGTGTAATTCACAAAGATCCTTGTGGTGATGGGATTTATAAGTTATGTCAAAACTAAACATGCTCAGGCCGACACCGACCTTGACAGACTCCATAAAACACTCAACCTTTAACTTCTCACCAAACTTCAGCAAGGAATTAGAATTTGTGAACGGTGGAAGATCGATCAAGAGAAAGACGGCGGAGATGTGGCATGAAGCAGCCGCAGGCCGATTAGAAGAACTCACCTCCATTTTTCTCCGGCCGCTCCACTCCACCGGTATCCTCCTTTATCGGTTTTATCAGGTACATGACGACTCCCTCTTGATAATTTCTCTGATGAGTATTCTTGTCTTGTTAAGGGGGTTGAGGATAATCTAGCCGTTAATTATATTGACAGGCAATTCAAGTAAAACGAAATTTCGGGTTATTGCTTGCATATGGGTAATTTGTGGGATCAAATAAAACGAAGTGTGTGTGAATTTTTAATAGAAAATTCATTTCATTATTGTCTTAAAAAATTAATAAATATGTCCCTTTTTGGAGATAATTTTTCTTTGAAAAGAAAGGTTACACATGTGCAATCACAGTTTCAGTCTTATCTTCTTGCAGGAGGGGTTTTGAATATGCTATAAATGCCAATTGATATTATTGTCAATATTTGATGACTATTAAATGATATTACTGTAGAACATTTACACACATGGACTTGTGTACATTGAGGATGGCCGTAAATGAAAAAAAAAATGGAATAAAATAAATCATTATGTTTCATTTAACATTAAAAATATATTTTGCTAAATAGAATAAATTGTGTTTATTGAAATAAACTTATTTCACTTTCATACTATTCTATTTAATGATAGCTTCGATTTAAGACCAATAGTAAGATGGTTTATTATATCATGTGATTATGAAATACTTGAATTTTTACTATCGTGGAATTTATTTACATAGACATGTGGATATTTATGGATTGACCCTTGTGATATGAAAATTAACACGTGTGGCTACGAGGACCGGCCAGTACGGCTCTGCCGCTGGCAGGTGATCGAGAAGACGGGTTTTGGGCCGCTGTTTCGAATGGGCAGAGTCCAGACCGACAACAGCCTCATTTCCTGTCTGGTGGAGAGGTAGCGACCGGAGACGCATACCTTCCATTTTGATTTCGGGGAGGCCACCATCACGCCCCAGGACGTACAAGTCCTATTTGGCCTTCCGGTAGATGGAACTCCTTGCTGGGGAGAGACTGTAGATTTTACAAACCAACAATAGCGAGAAGAGTGTGTGTACGTTCTAGGGTTTGACCCTCAGGTAAATTTTTTCCTACAATTTTTTTTTTTTTAATTTTGTTTATGTATACTCCATTGTTTCATTTTTTATATATATAACCCACTCTCAGGAAGCAGACAACCCGACGGCCAACACCAAAACTTGGGGCATAACAGGCCAATATTTGAAGCACTCGAGGTTAGAAAACGAATACAACAGAGTGCTGCAAGATGGAGAACACATCATGACCTACGAAGAGAGGGCGAGGGCCCTTATCATCTGGTGCCTTGGATCCTTCTTCTTTCCCGACCAGAGGGCCAGAGGAGTCAACCTGTACTGGTTGCAGCATTTGCGCGACATCGATAATATCAAGGGGTACAGTTGGGGGTCGGCGCTTCTGGCCGCAGTGTATAGAGCGTTGTGCACAAGCTACCAGACCGGGGAAGGCTGGATCAAGAGTTGTGTCCAATTGATTGAGGTACATTTATTACTTGTTATTTCAAAATTTATTTTTTTATTCTAATTTAGACTAATATTTAATAACAAATGAATATGTCGATATGTCTAGGTTTGGGCATGGGAACGTATCCCTCGGCTTCGCCCGAGAATGAGGTATTTGAACTTTGACAGAGTCCCTCGTTGTCCCTTAGGTGGAAGGTAATCACATTTATTTATATATTTAATAGTTAGATTCTTTCAATTATCAAATTTTGTGATTACAAAATATTTTTTTATTTTTTTTTTTTGTGATATTTAAGGTGGGTGGGACCGAAGGACACGAAACACATAGTCACTGGAACAACCGCTGTCCGGGATCAACTAATAGGGCTGAGAGAGACGGATGTAAGATTATTATTAAGTACTATTGATTATTATTTATTTTTGTTTTTTTGTTTTTTATCCTTTAATAACTTAATTCCTAATTATTTATTTATTTATTTATTTATTTTTTTACAGTTCGACTGGGTGCCGTATGACCAGCACCTGAAAGCTAATACTCTCCCGGCCCAGTGTACGGAACATTCAAGCCTCTGGATGTATATGTGGTGGATGTTCTGTTGGAACATCTGTGAAGTCCACCTACCTGATAGGGTCCTCCGTCAGTTTGGGTGTTCTCAGTCCATCCCCGACACTCCGATCATTACGGGTGAGGCCGATTGGGAGACACACCACCGAGGCCAGGGAATGACTGGGAGGTCAGTTTTTAATTGGGTCGACTTTCATTCCGAGCTTGGGAATGTTTGGGTCGAACAAAGGCACCAAAATGTCGTCCCATATTACCCTGTGGAGTCATTCGTACAGCCTGACGAGGGTTACCTTGATTGGTTTTACAGTAAGACTGTGAGACTAATCAGTGACCCTGCCAAGTACCCGGTGGTCCAATAGGACGAAGGCTATCAGCCACTTGCCGAGCATGGGAAGTGCGATGTAAGTGTTCATAATTTGTGTGTTTTTTTTCCTATTATTATTATTATTATTATTATTTTATTTTTTGTGTTTCATACTAATTACTTTGAATTTAATTTTTAGGCTAACGCCATGGAGGGGGATTTTAACACGTTATCCAATGTTGACCACCTAATTCATACAGTCCCTCCAGAGATGCAGGCAGCAATCCAATATGCCAAGAACCTTCTCTTCACTTCTCTGACTGTCGGAGGCGGAGATGTCGCACAAAGGACGTCGTCGAGCCAAGTTTTATCACAGGAGAGCTACATCCGACCCCAGAGGACGCAGTCACACCGGGCGAGGTATCAACCTGCTGCCCACATTGGTGGAGGTACAAGACGACGTCACCGCGAACCTGTTGCCGACACCGGACCTGAGGAAGAACAAGAAGAAGGTAAAAAAATTTTACTTAACAAAAAAATGATTTTATTTATTTTTTTGTGATTTTTGTTAAGTCGAATTTTTGATTTCTTAAAAAAATGAATTACTCAGGTGAAGAAGAAGAAGAAGAACCTGCCACGCCCACAATATCGTCTTCTTCAAGACCAGCACGGCGTCGGATTGGCTCCCAACATTGTAACCCTACGAATCGATATACTTCTAGCTAGTTTGTGTTGTATTCGGGGAATTTTGTGGACATATATATTTATATATATATATATATATTCTTGGTTGATTATGTGAAATGATATTTGGACATATTTGGATTTTTAATAAATTATTGTGGTTGATTTTTCTTTCTTTGACGAATGGATTGATATGAGCTTGTGGAATTTATATTTGGTTGTGGAATCGATCTCGATTAACAGGTGTGTTTTTTTAATTTTTCTGTACAGGTACAATCTCTGCACAGTAAAACATATTATGAAAATACGTTTTTTAAATAATTATTTATAAAACGTATTTTGATAATACGTTTTATATTTTAAAATTAATGAAAAAAAATTAATGTGT